TCTTCTTCTTCTTCTTCTTCTTCTTCTTCTTCTTCTTCTTCTTCTTCTTCTTCTTCTTCTTCTTCTTCAGAATCCACACAGGGGGAGAGGGCAGTCTTAGAGAAAAGGGTTATCTAAATGGTAGAAGAAGAAAGGGTTGAGAAGAAAAGACCTTAGACAAAGTGATAATGCATCTGATTGCAGTGTTTTACACATTCCACATTTAGAAGATTGACCTTGGCCCTGGCAGCTACTTCCTGTAGCTACAAGCCTACTTGTTAGAGCCATCCCTGACCTACTTGTATTTCTGTGCCTACACACTGGATAGGATCCTTTTTGATTAAGCTGAAGGTATGGGCATCATGTTGAGGCATCAATTCTAATTTCCAATAATGGTCTGGAATTCCAGCCAAATATTATTTACACCAGAAATATTCCAACCTTCAAAGGGAGCTGTTTGCAGTCCAAAACCTGGAGGCATTATTTAATTAACAGGCTCCACAACTGGGATCCATAGAGCTGGGAATGGGAAACAACCATATCTTGACATAGCCTCTCTGGTAATACTAAAGAATGACTTCGTCTTCCTCCACACTATATGGTTTTTTTTTTTTAATAAAAAACAAATCATAATTTGGAAGTCACTAATAATGAACTACTTAATATTATGATGGATTGTGGGTATACTGTTCTCTGTACTGTGTTTGTGGATATTTATACTGTGTAGATATTTTAATATTCATTGTTAATGTGGGTCTTTTAATGTTTATTTTTAGTATTTTATTGTATTGCATTTTTAGATGTATCATAGATGTTTTAATTGTTGTAAATCATCCACTGTATTTTAATTAATGAGGGTTACCATATCTGGACTGCAAAAATCTGAGTGATCACTAAATGGTAGCAGTCTTAACATTTTTTCTATCTCTTTGCTGCCATATGGTGGTCATCTGGAGTTTTGCAGCCCCAGTATGGTAGTCCTATTTTGCCCAATTTTATTATCATCATAACAAAGATATCAACTGAGCTGAATATACTTTAGAATTTCTTGGATGATTTATATGAGGTGGAGGAAAAGGTGACATATGGGCATGTTGTGCCTATTTTGAGTGTAGGTAGATAGCTTAATAATAGTGACTGTGAGTTCTAGTCCTGCCTTAGGCATGAAAGCTGGTGGGTGACTTTGGGCCAGTCGCTCTCTCTCAGCCCAACTCACCTCATAGGGTGGTTGTTGTGGGGAAAATAGGAGGAGGAAGGAGTATTAGGTATGTTCACCACCTTGAGTTATTTATAAAAATAATAAAGGCAGGATTAAAAAAAAAGCACTAACTTGTTTTTCTTTTCAGCATGGAAAAACCACATCGTAAATCAGACTTTAAAACATAATGTTAAGTTATGGCTGCTTAATAAATCACCATTGGGTTGGATCACATAATCCATTCAACATAAACCTGGTTTACAAACCACACCGACTGAATTCAAACCCAAACAGACTATGATGCATGAATTCAAACTTTGCCCTGTGTATTTGTACTATGGCCTCTACAGAGTTTAATGGTAGAAGACTTCCACATTCGTATTCTAAGACTATTTGGGAAATGTTCTGTACTCTGTCTGCATAAGAGATTGACTCAGCTAAACTATATTTTTATGCACATGCAGCTTTTATTGTGGCTACTAGATACATGCACAGCCAGAAGGGAAATAGTTTTGACCCTTTGCCATCCGTCATTCTTCAGCATCACAATGTTCCTTTTCACATCTGGCATTATACATAGTTCTTCTAGGTGTGGTGTAATAGATGGAAGAGAATCTTACGGTCAGCAGAGGTGTGTCTAATATCTATTTGTAACCATTGCCAATAGCTTCATGTTTTCTCTATATAGCAGTTGCTATGATTATTGATGCATGATTTGCCCTTAAGGTAGAGGTAAGTCACCTTGTGGTTCCAGGGCCACAAGTGGCTCTTGAGTCAATTTCAACCACTTTATGCAAGACATCACTTCAGGTTTCTGTAAGAGCTATATGCCTCTTGAAGAATTGGAATCGCCAATAAAACCCCACTAATGGTTCCATGTCCTTAAAAATTTAAAATGGTATCAACAGATCTGAGATTAAAGTTGATTAATCAGAAAACTATATAGGGTGCATTGGACTCCCAAAGAATGTATTTGAAAGGATGAACATCAGATTTTCTATGCTGGAGGTGTAAAAAATGTGAGTTCACTGATCCCTCTGACATGGCCATGTGATCATTTGGTATTTTTTTGAGATAGTGTATTAATGTATATAAGCAGATTTATGAGAAAACCTTTAAACATTAAAGATTTTAATGTAACGTCGAACTTAATACCAAAGCTTTGGAATTTGACTATCAGGAATTGTGGCTGTATTGAGCATGGGCGGGGAGGGGGGCTGTTGCCTAAAAGAATCATATTGAGAAATTGGAAATATGTTATTACTCCAGATATCAAGGAAAGGTTCTTGGAAATGTGTGATTTATCTGTTTTGGAAAAGGCAGTATTTTCTACTATCAAAGGATGCAGCAGTATGTGTTACTATGGCAGACATTTTGTGGTATTTTACAATAAAATCTTGTACTGTTCCTATTATAGTAGTGAATCCATGAGTAAACCAGTGATTATTGATAAGTATAAAATATAAGGTAGCAACATAAAAAAAAAAACCCCTCCTCCCAGGCTGGCAACAGTTGTATTTAAAAAAAATCAATCATGTGTTTGTAATTATTTTTATAGAAAAAAAATTAATAAACCATTTAGGAGTCTCTTTCTAAATTGCCTGCAGATTGTCCGATACGCACAGACACATGAACAAGAATTTGTACTTTTATCTGTGAACTAGTATAGTTTATTACACTATACTATTATTTATTCATTGTACCATACGGTAGCTGCCATGTTGAGAGAGTGCTTAGTAATATCCAAATTTAAAAAAAGAAAAAAAGTGACACAGGATGCTATATTTCCTCTTTTTTTCTTGCACTGCAGTATTGAAGTTGATTTTGTTTCATGCTGGATATAAATATAAGGATTTCTGTTTCCTTCTTTCTGTTCTAACCTGCTAGATAGACATCAATAAAACAAGAGTTCCTCAGGCATTTCAACATTGTTTTTCAATATAAATACTTTTTGTAACAATAGCAGTGTGCTTTAGATACAATGGGTGGATTGCTTTTAGATCCAGAGACAGCCTCCACAAGCTGGAAGTTGGCAAGATAGGTTTTACCAGTTCCCTCTTCCTGAAAATCTGCTTTGGATCTCCAGGATTTTTCCAGATCAGCCTAGAATTGAAGTTGGAGCCCAATTCAGGGTGGGGATGGGGAGAATAAAATCCCAGGGCTTTCTCCACAAAAACCTCCATCGGCTCAAAAACTTGAAGAAATGGATAGACTACAATAAGCATCAAGCAACTT